ATATATATATATATATACACATATATATACATATCTATATTACTGATTAAAAGGCACTAACATCCATTACATGTAAATAGGCAAGGAGTTTAAATAAAATTTGAATTTTAAACATGGTATTTAATATTTAATTTATATTTTTCAGCGCAAGCTCAAATATGAGGCCTCTAGGCTAAAAAAACAAGCATGTTAATGAGAAAGAAAATGTGAGCACAGAAAAATAGAACTCTGATGCTCATCAATCTAACATCATTCATCCACATCTTTGAATAAATATTCCTCAATATTCAAGTCCAAGGGTTTATTTTAATTAGTTGAAAGAATATTCCTACACACCCAAACAAATTAACGCAATTACAATTACAGAGACCGCATTCTTAGACACACTACTGTTTCAAATGTAATTTCCTTAACCCACCTCAAAACTTGATATAGCTTGCGTTTAAATATAGGATTTTTTGGGATGACAACTGTACTTTTTGGTTGATTAAAATCTCAACCAGCCAAAAATAAATAAATAAATGGTATAAGATGTACAAGAATGGTAAGAGAACGCATTTAGTAAAAAACCCTATGAGTTGGGACTCGGAAATCAACTCGGAAATCAACTCGGAAATCTTTAGGGGTAAGCATTTCGACTTGATGGATAGATTTTCAAATTGGTCAAAACAGCACCAATCAAAATCCAAAAAACCAAACTTATCAGTAACTTGATAAGGCTGAACCAAACAAACCAAAATTTAATTTTGTTTAAATGATTCCGCTATGAACAAACCGAAATTTAATTATTTGTTGGAGTTTAGTTATGAACATTACAAATAACATATCCTACATATAAAATATTGATTTAATTTCATGAATCCACTATTTATTTCAATCAAATGTTGCATATAATGCAAACTTTAATTTTTTAGATTTGTTTGACATTAAATTAAAATAAATGAGGAATTTTTAATTAATTTTTAGCTTTTTCGATTTGTTCGATTAAATAAAAATTAAAACCGAACCAAAAACCAAAAATCAAATATTAAGATTTTAAAAACCAAAAAACTAAATACATTTAAAACATGAACTGAATCAAACAAATTTATTCGGTTCGGTTTTTCGGTTTTGACCAAATAATGGACGCCCCTACCCATCGTCTTAAAGTCTAAATCCCATAACAATTTAGTGCACAGTTCACCAATACAGTTTAAATAATAGTCAATTACATCTAATGAGTTTTTCAAATGCAACCTGGAACTGAAACTATCAAATTTATATAGAAACTTAGTGCCTGAACATGTGGATGTACAAGTAGTACACGAGATTATAACTACAGATCCTTGAAAATGAGCTGAAATCTTGTTATTTTCTCTGGAGGGAGAGGACAGTTAACAATTAGCTTACCTTTCATGGCTCCTCTAAATATGGCCTGTCATCAAAGTTCATTGGATATTTAACCTGTAAGTATCATGAAATCACACAACATATAGAAATACATGAAAAAGCATAAAAATAAATAAATATTAATAAATTCCCTGTTAAAAAGCAGTTCACTCCATCTAATTGATGAGTATTAGATTTCCTATCAATTCCAATAAGTGAAGTTTACAATTCTAGGACTGAAGAAACACAGCATATAAGAAAGCAGTTCTATTGATTCAGAAACAGAACAGACGGTGGAGAAATTACTATAATAGCGAACTCAGCTTCAAGCAAAGGTTATGTGGGAATCAGAATGTCAGAATACAATACATTTTCTTTGGAGAAAAATTCAAGTGCACTGAGAACATGTTGCTAGGACACAAAAAGGAAGCATTTCTTGAAGTGGAACGTCGGAGAGAAGCAAGTTACTATGACTGCATGCAAAAGAGGAGCGTTTCAGATTTCATTTGAGGCCATAGGAAATGATTTTTATGTAAATGATTTATTCTGATTTTAAACAAGCTATTTCGAGAATTTGACCACCTAAGTTGTTGCCAGTTCAAGCTCAGGCTTGGCTTGACAGGCTCAGTAGCTTACTCATGATCCATTTAATGAGGCGTAAATTTACTTGAATGATGTATTTACTAGATAACAGGGAGAAAGGGAAAGAATGATACAACTCAAGCACAACTAAGTACAGACTACTTGTTCATGTTAGATCACACATGTGAGGTGATACAATGCAAAACTTTATTAGCGAACTTTTACACAACTAATAATAGCAACTAACCTCTACCACGTCTATGAAATCTTGCTTGCAATGAAAAGAGCCCACCCATTTTGTGTGATCAGCAGTCCTGGATAAACATTAACGCAAATTCAATCCGTTTGAATTCTTTGAATACTAGTGTAAAAAAAGAAATCTTCAGCATAATGTAATCAAGATACTAAAAGATTGCATTAAGATAGTAACATCAAGCACAAATACACAGAAGACCATAATCTGAGTTAAATTTATAATGAGATAGGAAGTTGTAATAAAGATTCTCATTCAACTGAAGGAGACCAAGCTCCAACGCACCTGTTTTGGTCATTCTAGATATATCTTTGGTGCTGGTAGAATAGAAGAGGGTATTGTTGTAATAACTGAAAGATAAATAAATAAAAAAAAAGCCGCAAAAGAAAAAGAATGCTAACGAGTCTCTGTCAATTCGAATCAATCATCATTTTGATGATTTCTTCTTAAGGGGGCGTTTGGTAATTGGTACAATAATTTTAAGAGGATTTAAGTTAGATTTAACATATTCAAGCCAAACGCAATAAAAAAGTTAGGTAAATCCCCCGTTAAGTTAAATCTAATTTTTCCTTGTTCCGTTTATTAAATCTAGATTTGCTAAATCCACTTATTAGTTGGATTTAACAAATTTAGCGTAGGAAAAAAATATTTCAAAAAGATTTATGCCAAACACATCAAATTGATTTAACTGTATTTAACCTTTCATTAAACCAAACACCAATTCGAATTTCATAATATTTAGATTTAATATATCCGGTTTTACCCGATTTAGAAAATCGTATTAAACTTAAATCCTACTACTAGCCAAACACCCTCGAGTATCGTTTGACTTGGAGAGAAGAAATAGAAGAGCGAGCGAGAGCCAAAAATAGAGCAGAAGAAGAGAGGAGTTGTGTTGGTGACTCACATCGTGAAGGAAGAGTAAAAAGGTGGGTGGCATGTGCAACTCTAGCAAAGGAGAGCACAAGAAATAGGGCAGTAAGAGGAATCATGCAGCAGGAGAGGCAAGAAGACAGGAAGAATTTTTGTGCGAAGGAAGTAAGGAAGTAGGGAATTAGAGGCTTCGGGTGTGTAAAGAACTGGAGTTAGCCTCGAAGCAACAACACATGTGCGCTTGATCGAAGAAGAAGAAGAAGACATACCTGAGAGGAAGGGAGGCAGTGGTGAGGAAACTTAGCGGACCGAACCGGGGGGAAGAAGCTCCTGTCCTAACTAAACTGAATAGTAGGAGAGGAGAGGGGTGACCTATGTGCGCGAGCAAGGAATGAACTGAGCCTTTAAAAGGAAGAGGGGTTAGAGTTGTTTGATGAGATTATATATATATATTAATGACAAGAAATCTAACAGGAAGGCTTGGGGTACCGGTTCGTGTTGGAAAGAGGCAAATCAAGCTATTAAAACAATGTTAAGGTAAGGCTTTATGGATTTTCTACTTTAATTATATAAATTATTCTAATTAAAAAGTTAATATGATATATTAAACTCTATGGATTAAGTTCAGTAATTTTGTTTGACAAACGATTGAATTAAAGGACCAATAAGATTGAGATCAGATCGTACAAAAGAAGAAAAAATAAGGAGGTAAGACTCGTGTTTATTCGATAATTATTGATAGTCAAATTAATTATAAATTGCTACATATTAAAGTTAAAATATCATGAAATATAACTAAGTGAGAAAATAGAAATTTTGAAAGAGAAAATTAAAAGATTTGAAAGGGATAATTTCATAAGGTGAAATCAATGCAAGTACTTGTACTTTTAAATTATAATAGTATTTAACTTCTTCTAAATCTGATACATTTTGTAAATTATTCAGATAAATTTTATGCTACAAAATTATAAATTAAAAATGAATTTACCTTCTTTTTAAGTTCATTTGGTCATTTTAAATTATATTTTGCTTCATTTGTATAGATCCATCAAATGTATAAATTAAGGTATTATATTATGTATTGAATCCTATGAAAAATAATAATGAAATTAACTGTTTTGATTGTTTTCATGTGCATGCTGATTATAATGGAGTTCACACCTTTATAATATTAGCTCTGGAATGCTAAAGTACACGTGCATGTAAATAGAAAAAGCTCTTGATATTGATGTAACTAAAATTATATAATTTTAGACAGTGCTCATGTGACTGATATAAATAAAATAAAATAGATATGAAAATGGTATGTATGACATAATATAATTTTAAAATATTTTGATCGATCATATTCATAAATATGGAAAGTCAAATTATATTGATTTATTAAAAGTTTAATTAACATGCATAGCATTTTTTTTTTCATTGTGTTACCATACTTTAGGAGTAAGCATATTAATTGTTATGGTTAGCTCAGTGTTGTTTTAATTTAACATTTTAGATTTAATTATTTTATTAAAAAAATGAAGAATAGAAAACTTCAGAAGATGCCGACAACTTAAGCTAAGGTAAAAATTTAACTATATTACTTTAATTTATTTCTCTAGTGACTCTTTCATTTATTTTAAAATGATTAAATATTATTTATAGAAAATTAAAATAAAAAATAGAAGAATTTGATTATCACCATCTAACCATCCTTTCGTCATTGGTTAATTTCAAGGCCTAGGTCAGGTCATGACAATTCTATAGGCTAAAAGTTCTTTTCAATTACATAGTTCCGAACTTCCAAATGTAACTGTTAGTTCTTCAAAGCATATAAAGTAGCTGAAATATAACATCAAAATATCGCAGATTTGTGACTACAAACCCACTTAATTACTTGTCATCTCAAATAAATAGAAGGATTACATGCGGAATGGACCTTGAAAAGGATTAACTGAACAACAAACAAAGTATATTATTTACTGATTTGTGTTGCGGGGCAAATACAAAAATGAATAGGCTAAATAACAACTTGGTTTACAGTTAAAATTGGACACATATCAAACATTATGCTGCTAGATCCCTTATGTTTTAAATATTCTGAAGAGCCCTTCTGTTGATTAAACCATTAAAAGATAAAGAAGAAATACTAAAGCATTGAATGCTCCGCATAACCATTATCTCAAGAACGAAGTCAATATAGATTGCATCCCTACTACTTCCTCCCGCCTATGCGATGGATACTAACTAATAACTCTTTTTAGTTAGGCATTTGATAGCAAACATAAAAGTTTTATCCAAAAACGATGACATGAATCATTTTAAATTATTGTGTCAATGTGAGAGTGCCTCCTGAAATTAACTAGCAATGTGACATTAAAATAGTGACAAATGTGCAAGGGTCACTATACCGGCTCCCAGCTGTAGTATTAAATAGGCAAGAATTCTCACATTATGAACGGATGCAGACAAAAAAATTGGTCAATGAAAATAAAATTAGGATATGAACTTAAAATATAGCCACTCGCATGGATAAATTAATGAAATTAATTTCTAATATGATTCATATGAAGATAAATATCTTATATATTCAAGAAACTAGATGGATTGGAGAAAAGACGATAGAGATTAATAGTTTATGTTTTATAATTTAATATCCAGGCATGAATCATACTAGATATGATGTAGGTGTGAATTGATAAAAGTTTGAAAGATAATATTATAAAAATTAATAGAATTGAAGAAAAAAAAATAGCTCTAAATATTATCATTGATAATATGATTCTTAATACTATGCTTCCCTAAGTAGGTTTAGATTTGGAATGACCTAAAAAAAATAATACAATGAATATCTCTTGTAGCAAGAATTTTTATTGGAGAATATTTAAATGAATATGCTGATAAAATAGTAGAAAATTTTAGAAACATTCATGTTTGTTATGATTTTGGAGTTACAAATGAAGTAGACATTGAATTTTTCTTTCCCTTATGATTTTGTTATTGCTAATACTTTATTCATGAAAAAAGTAAGCATATTATCATTTATAAGAATGTATCTAATAAAATACAAATTGATTATTTTCTTATGAGAAAAATAGATTGCCGAGTTTGTAAGGATTGTAAGTTTATTCCAAGTGAAAATTTAAATACCTAACAATAATTATTGGTTTTGGATTTTAAGATGAAAGATTAAAAGATGAAAAATACTACGAAATATTATCATAAAATTAGATTGGGGTATCTAAAAGAATCAATTGAAAACTTTTTATGAGAGCTTCGAGATCTTAGTATTTGAGATATTCATGAAGTTAAAATTATGTGGGATAAATTAACAAGTATTATTAAGCAAGTTAAAAAATATGTGCTTGAAAAATCTAAAAGGAAAAAGCTTATAAATAAAAATAATTGATAGTTGAATAATAATGAAAAAAAAAGAAAAAGAAGAAAAAAATTTAATATAAAAATTGGTTTAATGTAAAAATTTAGAGAATTAGAAAAAATATAAGATGGTCTATAAGGAGTCTAAGAAAATAATATGTGATTCTAAAAAAATATTTTTAAAAATCTTTATAATATATTAGATTCTAAAGATGATGATATATACATACATTTGTGTGTGCAGGTGTATGTGTATATAAAAAAATAATAATAAATATGTTTATCGGTAAGCTCTGCTAGGGTTTCGCCTGATGGCGATTTCCTTCGTCTTCTTCTTTGAATCATCTACCTCGTTCGACTTCATCGCCTTCATCGACTTCGTCTGCTTAGGCCGACCTGATTGACTGCTTTATGCGGCTTCATTAGCTTCATCAGCTTTGTCATCTGCATTGTTCGTGATTTGGTCGTCTCCTACGGCTCAAATCATTGATCGAGCCCCACGCTGTGCTCGAAGAAGACGAGAAGGGGATTGTGTCGCAGCTCGTCGCCTCTTCGTGCTCGAAGAGGGTAGCGCCAAAGTAGAGCCTTGTCAAGCCCCAACCTCCCGCTTCCTACGCGCAGATGTCGACACCTGCTTGACAACGCCCCCTGTGATACCCTTCTTTCTCATCTACAAACGTTATTCTACAGTTCCCTTCTCAATTTTTTTGCCTTTTGTTTTGATGGCCACTGTTCCTCCCCCGAATCTGCCCCTTACATAAAGAATCCTTAGTTGAGACGCTTGGTAAGGGTCTAGACTCTTAGAAAGTTGTCGACCATATGGTGTTT